TTGAGTGAGGATTAACAAAAAAAATTTTTTTAACACTTTTATTATCACAATTTCTATATCACAGTGGTTCTCAACCTTTCTAATGCCTCAACCCTTTAATATAGTTCCTCATGTGTGGTGACCCCCAACCATAAAATTATTTTCGTTGCTACTTTATAACTGTAATTTTGCTACTGTTATGAATCATAATGTAAATATCTGTGTTTTCCGATGGTCTTAGGCGACACTGCTAGCGGTTCAAAACCCACAGTTGAAAACCGCTGCTATATCAGCTCAGTTCTGTTGTCACTGGATCCTCTGTTCAGGGTCCCACAAGTGCAATTCAGTTGTCAGCTAGCCCTGGGGTCTCTGCTGGCTATTGGCCAGAGGCATTACTTCCTTGTGTTGTTGGTCTTTATAGGGTTATCCCCATTGTGGTAGCTTACTTCACCCACAGAGAAGGCTCAGAGACAGACAGAAATATAGAAGTCTTAGTCTTTTTGTAACCTAATCTTGGAACTGACAGTCCATCACTTTGGCCAGATTTTGTTCATTTATACTGAGTCAAAGGTCCAACTTTCACCTGAAGGAAGGGGATCACACTGGGAAGGGCAGCAGGAGGAGGTTTCATTGCAGCCATCCTAAAGACTAATTACAATTCACGTGGCCTCTCTGTACCTCAGTTCTATTGTCTGTAAACATCTACCTCATAGGAAACATTGTGAATATTAAAAGAATTAAAACATGTAAAGTGCTTAGCACAGTACCTGACAGAAGGTGAGCACTAAAGAAGCTAAGTATGGATACAAAAATAATGTAAATGTAGATATACTCTGTGGCAATATTCAGTACATAGTAGGTTCATGTTGGTTGTTCTTGAAATACTAGTATTAAAAGACCCATAATTATTCAAAAAAAATTTTAGAGCATGTGGAAATTACCCCAGAAACAAAAGTACTTTATAAAGATGAAAGTTCCTACCATAATGATGAGGGGGCTTCACAGCCACCTTCAAATTTCCCACAAGCTTTCCCCACATTAGAAATTCCCTAGCAGCAGGCTCCAATGACATCCTGAGTCATCTCTAAACCTACACAGAAAAAGCCAACCACACTTTGCTCTGAAAATGCACACCATTAGCCTGATTGCAGAAGTTGCCCAATTTACAAAAGCACACAACTCGTAAGTTACAGAAAGGGCAAGAGCTTATCTGCCTAGCTGGAGCCTTTCTCATTGTGCTTGGCAGTCTATGGGGAGATTTGGGGCTCATCTATGAGGAGTTTTTTAAAAACAATATTCACCCTAACATTTTAAGGAAAGAAAGATTATTCAGTACACCCATAGTCTTTAAAGGGTAATACGGAGTGGGAGGCGGGTTAAGGAGAGGTGTCCTGCTTTGCACTTGTCCCTTTTGTGCAATGTGAGATGCAGTGGGTGGGGGAAGGAGGCCAACCTGTCCTACAACAGATGTGATAAATGAATCACAAATCAGGAGCTGAGAAAAGGCTGGACTCCACCCACCTCCTTTCACTTCCTCCTCCCAGGCCACAAAGTCACCCATTTAACACAGCCCAGCAATCTGGCAATCTCCAGGGCAGATAAACCTCACACTAGTATGCATGGCCTCCTGCTAGAGAGTGCTCTAGCACAGAGTGTCTAATGTGCAAAGGCCACCTTTCTCTGTATCAAAGGTCCCAAGGAAAGAGGAAGAAGGAAGAAGGAAGGACTGGAAAGGCCAGCTTGGCAGCCTGGAGAGGTCACTAATGTGGGTCAACCAGCAGGCCTGTTCACTCCCATCCCACCTACCTCCAACAACTGCCAAAGGAGTGCACTATCATGAAGATGAAAGCAAGAACAAATTTCTCCATTCCATGGAAGGCACCTGCCAGGGTAAGCGTGGATGGGTTAGTTGTATTTTTGGAAAAATAAACCAAATTTCTCTGCAGATAATTGTTTTTCCTATTCTTTGTTTCAACACCTCTGAAACCATATTGCCTTTTGAACAACTCATTCCTCACTGACTGGAACACTGCACACTCATGTCAACATGGCAAGGTGGGGATCCCACTTCTCCAGTGAGAGCTAGTGAGCCCTGGGCATGGAGGACACCTGCACCGAAAGACCAGAGGTGGAAGAAAAGGAAAGGAATCTTGGTAATAAATTTCACTAGCTTGGTGTTAAATCAAAAGTGGAAAATACTATATTTTCTCCAATAAAAGTGAAACTGTGGCTGATTCTTTTTTCTGTTGTCACTATTATGTTCTTCATGATATAAAAAGGCACAATGGAATAAATAGAATATGATTTAACTTTTTCCTCTGAAGACCAACTTCGCAAGGAATTTATGTGAAGTGTGCCCCCAAAATTCAGTGCTTTACTTCAGGCTGTGCAGCTGTTTTCTGACTGTGTTGAGTGTGCTAATCTTAACTCCTTAACCAGGCTATTAGTAGGAGTTGGACATAACTAAAAGGGTATAGACTAGTTAGTAGTTAAAAAGCTTTTCCCAAAGATTATCAGCTGTGTGATCCTGAGCAAATTAATCTCCCTGTGTCTGTTTCAACTATAATAATGAAAATGAGAACAATACTACCCGTCATGTAGAGTTGTTACAAAATCCTCAGAACAAACCATGCGTGATAGGTAGCGAGCACTCAATAAATATTAGTTATGCCGAAACCGGTTTGACTCAACGGTAGAGCGTCGATCTGCGGACTGAAAGGTCCCAGGTTCGATTCCGGTCAAGGGCATGTACATTGGTGGCAGGCACATCTCCAGTACAGGGTGTGCAAAAGGCAACTGGTCAATGTTTCTCTCTCATAGAAGTTTCTAGGTCTCTATCTCTCTCCCTTCCTCTCTGTAAAAAATCAATAAAAATATTAAAATATATATATATGTTATTATTTTGTATTCCCCCTTCTAAACTCTGTCTCGCCATGTTAGAGTGCTGTTCAGAAACCTACAGTGGTTACCCCTTGTCACTGAGGTAAAGGTCTTATCAGGCCAGTTGAGACTCCATGCACCATCCCCATCCCCCAAGCTCAATGCTCTCCTAAATGCATTATCTCCCTGTGCTTTAGCTCCTGCTACGATGTCCTCACCTCCACCACCTATTCATCTGAAATCCTCTCCCACCAGTGTGTGGCTACCCTCATTACTCCATTACTAGAAGGTAAACTGAATGAGAACCATTCTCAGAGCCCAAACAAGGACTGTGCATAAAAAATACTCAGGAAACATTTACTGAATGACTGAATGACATCATACCTATTAATTTTTTTAAGATTCAGATCATATTCCACCAATTCCATGCACGTAGTCCTAAGAAATGAAGATGAAACTCAATTTTTTTTTCTGGACTCTAACAGTATATGTGTGTGTGTGTGTGTGTGTGTGTGTGTGTGTGTGTGTGTGTGTGTTTAGTGATTTCAGAGAGGAAGGGAGAGGGAGAGAGGGATAGAAAGATCAATGATAAGAGAGAATCACTGATCAGCTGCCTCTTGCAAGCCCCCACTGGGATGGAGCCCTGATTCATAAATGGAACCAAAACCTCCTAGTTCATGGGTTGACACTCAACCACTAGCCACACAAGCCGGGCATCTAACAGCATATTTCTTAAACAGATTTTATTCATTGATAATATTAATATTAAACACTCACTAACAATATTTTTTAAATAACTAACATTTAAGCAATGTTTATGATTGGCATATATCAAACTCATTTAATTCTCACTATCCCACCTATGAGATACTTTTTTCATTCCACTTTTGAATTGAGGCAACAGACAATTAAAGAAATCCAGAGTCACACAGATGGTAAGCAGGAAACACTATTCTTCACCCAGTCCTGTCTCTTGTTTCTTATCACTGTCTCTCCTACAAAAAATATCTGAATCCCATCTAAGTAGCCTCTTCCTCCAATTCCGGTGTCAGTGGCTCAAAGTATGAAAAGCAACTTAACTCGGAGCACCTTGAATTAACTTGTGGTTCATTCTGAAGGTGAGTGCCTACACCTCGCATCAAAGCCTTTAACTTGAGTTGGAATCTCAGACGAGGATTTAGCGCGCTCAACTGGAGGGTCACCCATTGTCTTCCTGGGACCTCACGACCCAACCCATATTTCTGGCCGTTTCTAGGGTCTGGAAATCTCATATGAGTCAACGCTGTCTACGAACTCCCTCCCGGGCCTACTGGGCAAGCCACAGGCGCTCAATTCAACCAAGCTTTCGCCTTCCCGCAGGTAAACAGAGTTTACCTCCCCCAAGTGTGGCGAGCAGGACCAAAAAGTGGCCCAAACCTACTCTGACAGCCCTGAGTAGGCCCCGCGCCCGCGCCGCGACTAAGGGGCGCGCCACACGCCTCCCCGGGCGCCGGGCACTCAGCCCGAGACGCCGCGCGGCTCTCAGGCCCGCCCGCCTGCGCCCCGCCCTCGCCCCCTAGAAGCCGTCCTTCTGGTTGAGCCTCTGACACGTCGCCCGGCTCCCGGGGTGTGGCCCCCGGGGTGTGGCCACATGACCTCGGCGACACCTTCCCGCAGGGCGGCCCTTCCCCGCCCGGAAAGGCAGTCCGGCAGCGCAGAGCCGGGCGGCGGGCGGGCGGGCAGCGTAGCGCCAGGCGGTGCCGCGCGGGCAGCTGGCGCCGGGAGGCCCCCGCAGGGCGGCCCTGCCAGTCCCCGCGCGCCGGGCGCCACACACGTGTCCCGGCGTCACGTCCGCGCGCCCCGGGGCTTACGTCAGCGGCCGCCCGAGAGCCGGCGCCGGGTCCGCGCCCGCTCCGGTTCGGGGCCGCGACGCCGCCGAGAGGAGGGGCCGGGGGCGCGGAGGGGCTCGGCACGCCCGGGGCCGCGGGGATCGCCTGCGCCGCGCGGCCCCCGCCCGCCCAGCGACCGCCCGCTCCGGCGCCCGGCCCCGGGGGCGCGGCGGCGGCGCTCCGGAGCCCACCGCCCGGGCGGCGCGCACCGCCTGACCCCGGCGGCCCCGCGGCCCGCAGACGCCCGCACTTCCATGGTGGGTTCGGAGCGCGATGAGCCGCCCGTCCTCCGCCGGCCCCGGCGCTAACAAACCCTGCAGCAAGCCGCCGCCGCCGCAGCCCCAGCACGCCCCGGCCCCGGCTGTGCCCCCGGCCGCCGCCACCATCTCGGCCGCGGGCCCCGGCTCGTCCGCCGTGCCCGCCGCGGCGGCGGTGATCTCGGGCCCCGGCGGCGGCGGGGCTGGCCCGGTGTCCCCGCAGCACCACGAGCTGACCTCGCTCTTCGAGTGCCCGGTCTGTTTTGACTATGTGCTGCCCCCCATCCTGCAGTGCCAGGCCGGGCACCTGGTGTGTAACCAATGCCGCCAGAAGCTGAGCTGCTGCCCGACGTGCAGGGGCGCCCTGACGCCCAGCATCAGGAACCTGGCTATGGAGAAGGTGGCCTCGGCGGTCCTGTTCCCCTGCAAGGTAAGGCCGGGCGCCACCGCGCACCTCCGCCTGGCGGCCTCCATCCCATTCGCTGGCTCTGAGAGGCAGGTGACACGTCATTTATTTAAAATAAATGTTTACACTTTGTCCACCTTCCTCCATACCCTACCTGCCCACTTTGGGAGTAGCTCTGGGCTGACCCCAGACGAATTGGCCGGCGATTGTTGTCAGGACACATCACAGCTCCCCCCGTGCGGAGCCTGTGTGCTCTGCAGATGGGAAATCGGGTGGGCCGCACAGATAAAACTTGGATGGAGGAGCAGGCTATGAAGGTTTGAGATGGAAGGAAGCGGGTGAGCTACACGCACCCTTTACCAGCACTCAGTTTGGCGGGCTTGGTACCGGATTTCTCCTGCACCCCGCACCTGCCATCTACCTGGCTGTCCCTGACTCGTGAGAACCCTCAGGAATAGAGCTAAAAAGGGGGAAGGGACGACTAGAGCCTGTTTTCTTTCACTCAGCAACAAGAAAACCCCTGCAAGCCAAGCCTCGTGTAGCCTTCTAAATACTGGAGAGTTGTGTGTGTGTATTGTTTTTCTAAGTGGGGTGAAAAAAGTTAATTAGAAATTTAACAGGAAAGGCACACAGGAGCTGTTGTTACAGTTCTTCAAGTATAAATATACTCAGACAGCTGAATTTAGAATCACAGATGTCGGTGTGTGTAAAGAAGGTTATGTATACGTACACGTAGGCATGTTTTTTTTTTTTTTTTTTCCAAAAATGACTTCTGCCACTAAATGACTTCTGCCACTCGTTGTTTTAAATTCATATTATCACATATTTTTCTATGGCTGAAACATAGTTCTCCCTTGCTGTATTTTAAGTGGCTGTATAATATTGCGTTGTGTGATCATATTATAAGATCTATTTACCTACATCTGTCACTTAAAAATCATAAGGCGTAATTTCAGAGATATACCTGTCTGTATTACTTCATGACAACCTAGAGCTATAGCATCAAGTTCTTTTTCTAAACTTAGAAGTGGAAATAATGTCATTAATACTTTTGAGTTTTTGTGTAAAAGTAGCTTCTCTGCCTCTAGAGCCATGTAGGCTGTCTTGCATTTCTTCTTGGTGCTGCGTATTTTTATAGAGCAAGAGCTTATTTTAAATTAAAAATAATCCACTTGAGAATTGAAGCTTGGGACTCAAGTCAGTACATGAGTGATTTAATTTGGTCTGTGCCCTACCACTGATAAGTTTAAAATAGCATATTCAAATAAGGGTTTGAATTCATGTTTGGACTATGGTTTTTTTGTCATCCTTAACAAGTTACTCTATTTCCAACCACTCCTCATAATGCTTACAAATCTACCCAATCTAATCGATAGTTGTTTCTCTTAATATATAGACAAACTATTTCTGTAATTTTCTTAGGATCATGAAGAAGGTGGTAGTCTAATGATCAAGAGAAGATTTGGTGATAGTGACATAAGAGAAGATATTTGATATTAGGGATGTATTGTGGGGACTGGGTTACAGTGGGGGGTGAGGGGGCGTGTGCCACAGGATTTCTGGGGAGCCATCTTCTCAGACCTTCTCTTTCCCCAAAACCTGCAGTGGGCAGTAGAAGAAATGACTTTAGGTGACTTATAGTTCACAAACGAGCATTTGATATCAGTCAGTCTTCCATAATTTATTTTCAAAAAGCAGTCTTCTAAGAGTATTGTTTTGCTCCCAAGAGAAAGTGAAGGAAATAGTTATAACATGCTATTTGAACTGTGAAGTTTCACTTTCAGGATCTAGGATTCTGGTTCCTATTGAAGTATATGTTCTTCTTAACATCTAACATGCTAGTGAAGTCTTTTTTGAAGAGTAGTTCTCTTGGAAATCAGTTACTCAGCTTTCTCTGCACATCATTGATTTTCCACATCCCTATTCTGTAAGAATGCAGTTGGGCAAAGCTATCACTTTGCAAGCTGAAATTTAACAGGGTCAACCATTCCCCTACAGACCAGGAACCAAGCTTAGAAAATAATTTTAGTGTGGTGTCTGTGTGTGATTCTATAATGCTGGAGTATCATGTCTCAACTTTGATTGACCAATAATCCAAGCTATTGACAGGGGAGCTCAGCCACTTAGTTTGGCAAACCAAACCTGGATGTATATAGAGTCCCAACAATCAACCAAGATATGTTAGTTGGGGAAGATGAGAACAGGAAAGAGTAATAAAGTCTATGTCAACTTCAACAGAATAGGTCTGTGTACCAAGCCCTGTGGCTTGCACTTGCTGCTGGAAAACAAAGGAACTGCCTTATCATTATCCCTACCTGCTCTTAGAATCTCCCATGGGGTGGCTTGTGCGAGAAAACCAACATTGGGTGAAATACCAGAGCCCAGGTCTCAAGAGTTGTTGGAATTGTCATTGTTTGTCTGAGAGCATTTCTGGGTCCTTAATTTCTTCCTGTGTTTATGAGGGGGTGGGACTGCTCAACTTCTAAGGCCACTTAGCATCCAGCGTTCTGTGAAATGAAGGGAGATTATGTGGAATGCTTATTGGTTTCCTTCTGTGTGCCAGCTATTTACTTAGTGTGGGTCAGCTTTTATTAGTTTGCCTTTCTTCTTTTTCAGATGAGAAAACTCATGCCTATAGAGAGGTTAAGAGTTAAGTGACTTGTCAAGATCGCACAGCTAATAAGTGGACCAGCCTGTGAACCTGCATCCTTTGTACTACTCCCTATGTAGGGATTTTGAATCTGAGCTTTTCTCCAAGGCTCCAAATCATAACGCAAGGTTGACACCAGTAACAAAGCCATCTGGCTGGATGAATGCACCAAGTGAGCCTCTGCTGGGAACATCTCCAAAAGACAACAGACATGTTAACTATAAAGCTCATTGGCAAGAATTTTATAGGGCATGGAATAGGAATATTGGAGGCAAATAACCTACAAGCCTAATATTTGGGGGAATTTTATTACATTTCTGCACTGTTCATGCTTCAGTTGGTCCCAAATGGATGTGTTGCCAAATAGCTTCCTTACATAGGTTTGGGGCACTTAATTAAAAGCTAGAATGCTGCCAGCGCCTTTGATAGAGGGCACCATATGCATTACTAGCTCGGGTCTCCTTTTTAAAAAAAAAGGATCTCTATCAGAGTATGGCTCTCTTCCTTATGTCGTGTTTTTAGTCCATTCTGTGTCTTGTTCCACGCCTGAGAAGTTTGACATCCTGTTCCCCTATCTCAGACCCACCACCTCAGTGGAGCGTGGGTGTAGGAGAAGTGAAGATGACACCTTTGTGCCCCCACTCAACATTTTTTAAAGTATCACCCAAGTATTTCTCTCCACCACTGTGGAAAATGCTAAAACCACTCCAGCCCACTTACACCATGATACATTTTTTCCCATTTTTTCTTTGTCTTCTCTAAGAGTCTCTAGTAGCATGTCTTTAAATAATTGTTGAACTGGAAAGCTCACTCAGCAAATCTTCTCTGCATTCAGATTGCAAGGTGGTATTTTGTTCCTTAAAAAAAAAAAAAAAAAAAAATGAAGTAAAGTTAGATAACCCCATTGAAAATTAAAAGCTCCCAGTGTGGACTCGTCCAGTCCAATGGCGACAAGTTCTAAATACCAGGAGAGCATCATTAGGCCTGTAGCCTTGGGATTGGAAGACCTCGGACAGTGGAGCCGCTGGGGAGCTGGGAGCACATGCCTCTCCGAAGGTCAACTTTTGCTCTGCGCTGGCTGATTGGCAGGTTTGGCCAAGTGTTTGCATCCATGCCAGACTTTAAGAAAAGACAAAAATGTGCATATTTTAGTGATTTTATATATATATATATAAAATATTTTTTATATTTATATATATATATATATATATATATATATATATATAATATATATATATATATAATTTATTTTTTTATTTTTTTAACATTGTCCAAACTCAAATTTAAGGATGACACTTACAGGCCAAACCAGCCAAATCTTCAGACCAAATTCCAACTGCCAGTGGGCAACCTCCTATCTGGTTCTCTTTTAGTAAGTCTTCATTGAACCTTATCATCATGAACTTTGGAACTCAGATAGGTTCCCAAGTGAATGTGATTCTATAACACTTTTTTTTTTTAAACTTTATTTTGACAAGAGAATACTTCATTCTGGCCACTGGGAGACCTGCACTGTTGTGCTAGTGACTGTGTTTGATTTTGTACCAGCCAGTTTATTTCTTTGCACCTGAATGTCTTCATCTCAAAAAGAAGGGGTTGGCCTAAATGATTATACCAGGGATCTTTTTTCAGAACCCAATAAACTACAGGGAAGAGAGACTGCCAGGAGATAGAACATGGTTCCCCATCCTGGCTTCCTATGACCTTGGTTCAGTCATGTACTTCCCTATGCCTGTTTGTTCATCCATTAAAAAGAGTGAAAATAACACCTAGCAGGTGGGCGCACTGAAATCGAGTTAGAAGTGGTACAGAGGGCTTGTGCTTCACCATATCAAATAGAAGAGGACTGGTCCTAGGGATGTTGCTAGGTGAGAGTGATTGATCACCTAGAAGTCTGAAGGGATAAGCCAATTTGCCAAAACCTTAGCCTCAGAAATCCCCCTAAGACAAAATATTCTCTTTGGAAACTAACTGCCCCTGTGGTCCTCTCTACCAGCTGTGGTTGACCAGGCTGGCTCATAACAGCCTGTGCTAGCAGTCCTGGAGCCCACATACTAGTACAGTCAGAGTGAGATTCCAGACTGTAAAGCACAACATTGAAAATACAGCTTTTTAAGTGTAAAATTAAGAACAGAAGCATTGGAATGCTATGTAGGAGTACTGAAGTTGAATGCTGATTCCACACATAGTTGGCAAGGATTTTTTCCCAGGTTCCATAGCTGGAACTGGAGTAAATCATTATGACTTGAAGTTAGTCTTTAGCACAACCAGAGTGGAGGCCAATCCACAGCAGGCCTATGACGTCCCCGGCCTGAGCTGAATTAGATTATCCTGGTCTGTGTTTGAAGTCCACGTATTGTGAAATGTCTTAAGA